ATATATATATATATATATATATATATATATATATATATATAAAAAAGGCTTAAACTAATATTCCATGGTCATAATTTTTTTTCCATTGGAATCGTAAATACGATCCGATTCATCAAACTTACAAATTCAAATTTATTATATATATATATATATATATATATATATATATATATATATATATATATATATATAAATTCCCAAAAGGATAGAATCCAGGTAGAACTCAATGTCCAGGACAGAGTAAGGATATAATAAAAGGCTTAAACACTAATATTCCATGGTCATAATTTATTCCATTGGAATCGTAAATACGATCCAATTCATCAGACCTACAAATTCAAAAAGAAAACAGAAAAGAACAACTCCGGAAATAAAAATAGAATTTAGAGAGAGTGTAAGTATGAGAGTGTGGGACAAATGTTAGTGTTAAAGAGAGGGGTAACATACGAGAGAAGGTCGGAGATTAAAACTTAACAGAAAGGGTTTGTTTTTTTTACTAGAGGTGAGTGGAAGGGGGAAATATGAATGTTGTCGGATGTCTATATATATATATATATTGGCAGCAATTATCCTTGCAAACACACACACACACACACACAATTATCCTTGCAAACACACACACACAAACACACACATACACACACACACACATATATATATATATATACATATATATATATATATATGGCCGCTAAAATGTGTGCAAGCACACTCGTCTATCAGTACCGTTAGCCAATTCCTGTGGCAGACGCCTGCTCAAGCACATTTTGTTCTTGTTCAATACCCACTGAGCCCATTTAGTTTGTGTACTGTAATTATGCTGAACGGATCTTACAATTGCTGAGAGAGAGCGCATAATCTGGCGGGATCTGTAGATTCAACAAGTTCAGCACACTCAACCATCGGTCACGATGACTTGCGATGACTTTGTGCCAACACAATGATCCGAGTCTTCCAAAGAATTCGGTCCGCACAATATTCACATACTAAGCTTGCGTCAATCCGTGATATGTTTTAGAGTGCCGCCCGCTAGTATCGCCTTTTCAGGTCAATAAGATCAAGAATTCGGGGCACCTCAAGGTGGTGTAATGGTTTGCAAGCTTCTCTCGCTAGAACTATTAGGATTGAGTAGTGAGTTCGATCCTCACTGGGTGCCCCCTACTTTCGGCCTTGGTAAATCACTAAGATCAAGAAAATCACTTTCCTGAAAAATCGATACTTGTGGAACTCGAACCTGGGTCTCATGGTCAGAAATCAAATTTTCTAACCACACAAGCAAAATATATGAACGAATCCATTTCATCAACCATGACAGCTATATAAAATGCCGTATTTGACGGCATATAAGACGCACGGGCGTATAAGACGCACTCCAATTTCAGCAGGGCAAATCAAGAAAAAATTAGTAATTAGTTAAATTATTAGTAAATGGTATAACCTAGGATGTATTTATGAGGTATTATTTTGGTTAAGCAAGCCATGATTACAATTAAACGATAAATAATATGAAAAAAGAACACGATCCTATAAAAACTTTATTATATCCTTTATATAATCTACACAACCTGCGTCTTGTAAACATCTGATTGGAATAATTAGGATATAAAAATTCTGATTGTATTTATAGCAATGCAACCGGATGTTATCGCAAGAAAAATATTAATGAAACAAATATGTTTTACAAATATATAATTTGAATTTATTACATATAATTTTAATGAAAGAAAATACTAATATTAAATGTGATGAAAATAATATAATGAATTAATAAGTCCATGTTCATACTTGATATTATATTTAAAATATGATTCCTACACTACATAAGAGTTCTCATGTGTCAAAAACAAGAGCCAAAAACTTCAATAAAATTTTAAAAATTAAATTGAATTAAAGTATCAATCTCTGTTTCATCCTCAATCGAAATCTCTGGAATTTAGGTTCTACTTATATATTGAGCACTGTTTTTTAAAAATAAAAACAAAAATAATAAAGAACTTCGGATTATTTACCTAACGTGTTCTTTCCTATTTTTCTATATATTTGCACACACACACACACACACACATATATATAAAAAGAAAAACAACACTCGTAGCTTGTATGTCTTATTCAATGAAATGTGCATGAAAGAAGGATTGCTGCCTAAATACACACATATAAATATATATATATATATATATATATATATATATATATATATATATATATAAGTTTACATTGAAGTCAACACTCAGAGGTGACAGACTGTTTCAGGCTAGACGCAATCATGTATATATATATATATATATATATATATATATGTATATAGAGAGAGATTTTGCTAATATTTGTCCAATACAAGGCCAGAGATCCATTCAAGATAAAGCGTTACTGTGTAGAGTTGTATTAGTAGATGAAAGGATAAGCGTTAGGCGTATAAAGTTGAATTAGACTTTAGACGGAAAGGGAACCTTAATCCTAGAATACATGAATAAACCTCTACACCTGTTCGAAAAACCAGCGATGAGTGTGATTATTTCTTCTATTCTTTCTCTGTAATTTTCACTCCTTCTCTCCTCTCCCGCTCTTCCCCCCCTCCCCTCTCTCTCCCCTCTCTCTCCCTCTTCTCTCTCTCTCTCCTCTCTCTCTCTCTCTCTCTCTTAATGTCACTTTGTTTAACTTTCGTTCTCACACACTTTCTTGCACTACTCTCGCATTCGGTTTGGATCACAAACATTTGAAATTTGCAGAAATCGTATCTTGAAATGATATATATATATATATATATATATATATATATATATATGTGTGTGTGTGTGTGTGTGTGTATGTATGTAGCTTGTATATATATATATATATATATATATATATATATATATATATATATATATATATGTGAAAATTTTAGAAAAGGCTAAGCCTTACAACAACCACAATAAAATGTGCAACCTCTGCCAACAAGAAAAAATAGCAATAATGAAATTTCCAGATACAAAATACCTTTTGAACCAAAGATCAAAAGTCATGAGCCGTTGCATTCATGCAAAAAAAATTCCTTTTAATCTTATATGAGGCTGGTTAAAAAAGTATGTATAATTCATTTATCCCCACCCCAACAGATACATTTATAATACCCTGGCTTTTCCCTTCCTCCCCTTCTTCTTCGTCTTCTTCTTCTTCTCCTTCATCTTAATAGAATAAACTACACCAATCAACAACAAAAAAAACCTATTAAATAAGTGATACAAACAAATTTTTACTATGTTAATAAAACACCGATGAAAATAAAAATAAATATATAACATAAGAAATAAAAATAAAAGATAAAAATTAAATGTAAAATAAAAAATAAATAAAAACAAGAAAAATAATCTAACCCAAATAAATAAATAAACGACTTCCAGCAAAATAACCGCCAAAATAGACTACTCACAATGCACCACTGACATATATATATAAATAGCCAAGAAAAGAAAAACAACACTCGTAGCCTGACGATTGCATCTAGCATGAAACAGCCTGTCGCCTCGAAGTGTTGACTTCAATGTTCACTTTTATATTTACACACGCTCTATCTCTGACTTTGAGCACTTTAGCCCATAAATATAGCACACCTTACGAGTATATTTCTTCATATATTTAATATATATATAAATCTCTCTCTCTCACTTTTATATATATATATATATATATATATATATATATATATATATATAATTTTAAACTGGCAAAACAAGAAAATTAAATTAATTATCTACTATAAGAAAAATTTAAAACTGCTAACCTCATCATCAACAACAATAACTAACTTGCAAGATCGAGAAAGAACCAATATTATGTACGAATTCACATGTCTCTTAAGGAACTGTGTTCCTGATCAAATCAAAGTCATAAATAATTATATTGGATATAATACATCGGATTGTGGAATCGGAGAACCGAGTTCGAATTCCATTCGATTCCATTACATTCACTTACGTTTAACAACCTTGGGAAAGTTGCGAATCCTCTTCTTCTCCCCCAGCTATGGGTAAATAGCTGGACATACCGGGTTCTATAGCCTTGGATGGCAATTGGTCTACCGCAGAAAGAAATAGCAACCTACTACGGGAAAAAAATCTGCTTCGTCAGTAATGTATCGAAAGATACATGATCGCCTAAGTGTGTATCATGCCTGGCACATAACTGACTGACATACCTAACAGGAAGGCTCACGTTACATGTCTGACGATAACTAAATTAGGTCTCATTTAAATACTCATAGCAACATACTCGTTGACAATACAAATATAATAACCTCATCGACATTTTAAAAAGGCTACAAATAATGGAAGCATTATTAATAGAAAAGAAAAAAGCCAACGTTAAAAAATATCAACTATGAACATGGCCACAACTTGTTGACCGTTTTTGGAAAATAAAACATCCCTATAACCCTAGATACATACAAAAAAAAATCTATACATTCAGTTCAAAGTAAAAATAATATCCATCGTTGATTGTGGCTAAAAGTATAGACAAAAGCACTCGAACATACAAAACATGTATTTCTATATAATTTTCGTGAAGAAAAGAAGAATTACACACACACACACACACACACACACACACACACACACACACACACACACACACATATATATATATATATATATATATATAAAGGGTGTTTCATTAAGACGGATCGAAGTCAGCAGTAAATAAATCAGTGTTATTGGCAAAAATTTATTTATTTCTCTATTGGATTATGTTATTTAAGTCATGGCAATTATGTGTGAAAAATAATATTGCCCAAATGTCTTTCAACTCTGAAAGAAAAAGAAAAACAGTCATTAGACGCTTAAACTTAATTCACAGGTATTGGAACACCCTTTTATATATATATATATATATATATATATATATATAAAATATGTGCGTGCGTCGCACAATATTGTTGTGCGTGTATGTGCGTGTGAGAGAGAAAGAAAGAGTATAAAAAGAAAAGAAAGTAGTGAAGTTGATTCGGGCTGTACGAAGATAGACAGAGGGAAAAAGAGAGAGAAAGAGAGAGAGCCAGAAAAAACAATGAAAGAAAGAAATCGCCAACGATGTGATAGGTACGAATGTTGTATGCATAAAGGAGACGAATAAGAAGGCATCGAGGAAAGATAGTGAGTATGTGTGTGTGTGTGGATACTGGTCTCTTTACGTATATGTAGAAAAAACGACAATAGTCGATGGTATACCTGAAAGATAATCAGTTTTTATAAATATAGTGTTCAATATCAAGAGTTTGAGGATTTTTTGTAACGAATGAGATTAAATGCTCACTCATCATGTCTCTGTAGGGATTACAACCACTCTTCAGGAGAATTTCTCTCTCTCTATCTATCTATCTATCTATGAATTCTTATATCTATCTATCTATCTATCTAAGAGTGTTTATCTATCTCAAAGTGTTGATATCTATCTATCTAAGAGTGTTTATATCTATCTCAGTGCTTATATCTATCTATGTATCTAAGAGTGTTTATATCTATGTATCTATCTATCTATCTAAGTGTTTATCTATCTCTAAGTGTTGATATCTATCTATCTAAGAGTGTTTATATCTAAGAGTGTTTATATCTATCTATCTATCTATCTATCTAACTATCTATCTATCTAAGAGTGTTTATATCTAAGAGTGTTTATATCTATCTATCTATCTATCTATCTATCTATCTATCTAAGAGTGTTTATATCTAAGAGTGTTTATATCTATCTATCTATCTAAGAGTGTTTATATCTAAGAGTGTTTATATCTATCTATCTATCTATCTATCTAAGAGTGTTTATATCTAAGAGTTTTTATATCTATCTATCTATCTAAGAGTGTTTCTATCTATCTATCTATCTATCTATCTATCTAAGAGTGTTTATATCTAAGAGTGTTTATATCTAAGAGTGTTTATATCTATCTATCTATCTATCTATCTAAGAGTGTTTATATCTATCTATCTACAGGGTGGGCCAAAAGTAGGCTTACAGTTGTTTCACTATTTGTTTCACATTTTAGATCTACTTTCAAATCTCAATTCCAAACCAAAATTCCATATACCATATTACTGGAAATATTATGAAGCTATTTCCTCCAATTTCAAAGAAACCAAAAAAAAAGATTATAAAACAGCTTTAAAAGATAATAGATTTTCGGCAGTACCACAGTGCATAAAAAAAGCCAACAGGAAAAGAAACATCGTAGGGTTTAACCCAGCCTACAACAAAAACGAAAAATAAATGTTGCATCGAGAATACAACAAAATAATAAAAACAACAGAAAATAACCAACAAACCAAACCCACCTGTAATAGCAGAGTAAAGAACGAATGCCCCTTACATGTCAATTGCTTAAAAATAATGCAATATACCGAACCACTGTAAAATCATAAGAAAAATATACATAAGAGTAACTGAACAACCAGGGAAACAGAAACTCTGCACACAAAACAACCTTTATAAATAGTAAATACGTGAACAGCACAATGCTTTCTAAATATGTATGGAAAAATAAAAATAAAAACAAATTTCAAGAAAAATATAAAAAAATAAAAACTGTAATCTCTGACTGGATGCAAAATAGCTATAATCACCTTCCCAGATAAACACAAATTACTAAATAAACGATCAGACACGGACGCGAATTTTTACTCCATTATTGAAAAACCGAAAACTAAAAACGAATACTTACAAAATAATATGATAAATGCAAATCTATACAACGCCGATAATGTAACATATTTTAGACAAAGCCAATACCATAACCTAGACTAATAAGTTACCTAACCCCCAAGGAAAAAATAAAATAAAGAAATAATCCAAATAAACAAATTAAAAAAACACAAATGGTCTCATAAACACAAGTAAATGTATTAATAATCAATGACAAATAAGTAATCAATAACAGATAACGTGTAAAAATTTAACAACACTACAAAATATCTACAAATAACAGCGTTAAGAGCCACAATTATTCCTGCTCAATAACCTCTAACGTCATTTGAATCACAGTCGTTAGCGCCTACAAAATAATCGTTATGATAATACAACAGACATTATTACCTATGATGCAGTATATATAATTACATATGTTCTATCTCTGATATTGACCAATTTTAACCATAAATAGAGCGTATCTTAAAACTATATTTTGATTATATATATATATATATATATATATATATAGCATGATTAAATCAAATAAATTTTCGCTTATCTTATTCCTACACTGAATTTCACGGTGATTACATCCTCTCGTTAGGGCACCTGAATATAAGAGGTGGTTGTAATCTCCACGAAACTCTCAGTAGGAAGAAGTTAAAGTTTACTTTTATATATATATATATATAATAATCGACTCTCCCGTCGAGATTCGACGTATGAGGGTCAAGCAGATCAGTTTCCAGGAAACCGACAGCCCGACACCGGCACATGAGATTTGATTATAGTGGTTATATATATACACACATATCTATCTATCTATCTATCTATCTATCTATC